TGCTTCTGTGAAGACTGACAGCCTTGGTGACCCCGTGGGGTGGGGCAGTTCCACTCTGTCTTCTAGGGGTGTTGTGGGTCAGAATTGATTCAAGGACGGTAGGTTTGGTTTGGGTTTGGGTTTCATGCTCCCTACTGGTCCCCCTGGGCAGATTTGAGAGATCTCATATGTATATTAACAAAAGGACATGGTGACATTAGGGTCAAGTGTAGCATGTCTTAGGGAAATTAGAATTTGAAACAAAATCTGTTATTAAGCACACACAAAATATTTTTACAAAGTTAGGTGGTGGTGTTTTGTGCTGTCGAGCCATCTCCGACTCACAGAGACCCCTCCTTGGGTTTCTGAGGCAGTACATCATTATGGAAGTAGGTTGCCCCATCTTCCCTCTGAAGAGTGGCTGGTGGGTTTGAACCGCCAGCCTTTGAACTGCCAGCCTTCTGGTTAGCAGTCAAGTGCCCTAGGGACTACGCCACCAAAACTACTTCTGTAGTGATATCGCCTTGGAAATCCAAGGAGGGGTCTCTATGAGTCGGATACGACTCAACGGCGTGAGTTTGTTTTTTTGGTGTGATTATATATATATATATATATATATATATATATATATATACATATAGATATATATATATATTTCAATTTGTCTAGTAATTGGGGTAGTTACCTGTGTTTGTTCATTGTTTTTATTTAAAGAGAAAAATATACTTTTTCTAACTTTGAGGCAGGAGATCCTTTTTTAAAAGAAAAAAATTTTTTAAAGAAAAAAATTTATTGGGATTCAGGTGAAAGTTTACTGAGCAAATTCATCTTCCATACAGCAGCTCACATACACCTTGTCTCATGACAGACTGCAATTTCCCACAATGCAACAGCTCTCTTCCCACTGCCTCCCTACAGTCACCTCCTCCCCATGCCCTTGCCTCCCATGCACTCCCCGCCCCATCTGTCTCCCTGTGCACACACAGGCCTTCTGTTCTAGGGCAGGAGATCTTTTTGTAATGGAAAGCAGGGTGCACTTAGAGGAGTAAAGAGACAGGCTATGAAAACAGCTCCCAAAGTTGGGGGGCTTGCCTTGACCACAGGCAGGGAATAGAAAAGGGTCCGTTTGCAGAAGACAGTGTCTCTGAATTTCTTACCTTTATAACTTATTTTTCTTGTTGGGAATAGACACAGCAGTATGTACACCAAATCAACCTTTTCCACATGTACAATCAACACCACTGATGACATTCTTCAAATGGGGCAACCACCTCACACTACTTTTCCTAATTGTTCCTTCCCCATAAATATAAACTCACTGCCCCCTAAGGTCCCTATCTGTTTTGGTTACCTAGTGCCTCTCGGACAGGAATACACCACAAATGGGATGGCCTTAAGAAGCAGGAGTTTATTCTCTTACAGTTTGGAGGCTTTAAATCTGAGTTCAAAGTACCAGGCTCTAGGGGCTGGGTGAAAGCCCCTCAGCCTTGGGCTTCAGCTCTGCCACCTGCTCCCAGCCCACTGAAGCTGGAGGCTTTTCTTCACTCAGCTGCTGGCTGCTGAGGCTGAAAAACCCAAGGTTGACAAGTAAAAAAGCACAGTCCCAATGTTACCAAACCACATCGGGCCATTAACTCAAGTCCATTGTAAGTCCCAAAGTCAGCAGAGCATGGCAGGCTGCTGAACAACAACACAGCCACATGCAGGGTCCAAGCGTGCCATAGCCAAGAGACCATTCCCAAGGCTTCTCCTTATATACAGAAAGCAGACCACATCCCAAAGGCAGCTACTCAGCTGTTTGTGGTCGATCCCACCATGGAGTTGATTGCCAGTCTCTTCATGAGGGATAACTACACCAGCTGCCCAGCCACTCAACCAGGCCCAGCCAAGTTGACACACAAATTTAACTACCACACTATCTAATCTTTTGAGTTGCTGTTGTCAGTTTGATGCCATAGAGATAGACCTTCGAAGAGCACGGTGCTCCGAGCAGACCGTCTTGGCTGGTTAAGCTCAACTACTATTTGGTTTCCACCACTCGTCCGCCTGTCTGTCATACTGTGTGGCTCGCATGTTGCTGTGATGTGGGAAGCTGTGATGCTGGAATTTCAAACACCAGCAGCGTCACCCATGGTAGACAGGTCTCAGCAGTTTCCAGACTCAGACAGACTGGGAAGAAGGTCAGGGAAGGACAGCTGCAATATGCAGATAATACAACCTTGCTTACTGGAAATGAAGACGACTTGAAGCACTTACTGATGAAGACCAAAGACTGCAATATTCAGTATGGATTACACCTCAACAGAAAGAAAATGAAAATCCTCACAACTGGATCAACGAGCAGCATCATGATGAATGGAGAAAAGACTGAAGTTGCCAAGGATTTCATTTTACTGGGATCCACAATCAAGGCCATGGAAGCAGCAGTCAAGACATCAGATGACGTATTGCACTGGGAAAATCTGCTGCAAAAGACCTCTTTAAAGTGTTAAAGAGCAAAGATGTCACTTTGAGGACTAACGTCCACCTGATCCAAGTCATGGTATCTTTCATCACCTCATATGCATGTGAAAGCTGGACAATGAGTAAGGAAGACCGAAGAGGAGTTGAGGCCTTTGAGTTGTGGTGTTGGCGAAGAATACTGAAAGTACCATGGACCTCCAAAAGAACTAACAGATCTGTCCTGGAGGAAGTACAGCTGGAACGTTTTTTAGAAGTGAGAACAGCCAGACTTCATCTCACCGATTTTGGTCATGTTGTCAGAAGGGACCAGTCCTTGGAGAAGGACATCACATTTGGAGAAGTAAAGGGTCAGAAAAAAGGGTAGGCCCTTCCATGAGATGGACTGACACAGTGGCTATGACAATGGGCTCAAGCATAGCAAGGATTATGAGGGTCACGCAGGACTAGGCATTGTTTCATCGTTTCGTTTAAAGAAGACTTCAGGGGATATTTTTGGTTTAGGGCTTAAAAGTTATTTCAGGGAAATAATTTCAGGGGCTCACCCACCTTCAATGGCTCCAGAAAATTTGGAGTCCATGAGAATTTGAAATTCTGTTCTGCATTTTCCCCCTTTTGATCAGGATTCTCCCAATGACTCTTGATCAAAATGTTTAGTAATGGCAGCTGGGCACCATCTAGTTCTTCTGGTCTCATGGCAAAGGAGGTAGTTGTCAATGGAGCCAATTAATCACATATTCCATATCCTCCTCCTATTCCTGACTCTTCCTCTTCCTCTCCTGGTCCCGGTGAATAGACACCAATTATGGTGAATATGCAAGCCTGAGGGGGAGGGGTTAGGGTTGTGGTGACTGCAGGATTAAGGACCAAGC